AATGCAGCGTCAGTCCGGGACAAAACAGTGTTGGAGCCATCTGAAGTGAGTGTATGTGAGAATCAAAGTGTGGAGGTTGAGGTTTATTCTCCAAAAACAGAGCCTTTACAGCCTGGGATGCCTTTAACAGTAATTGCGCCGTCTGAACTTGTAGTTCCTTCTAATTGCTTAGCTCAGATAGTAGAGATTAAAATAGTAAATGGAGCACAACAGCTGGTTCTTAAACTAATTCCTATGAAAGAAGCAACTTACAAACCTGTGAACTGTGCTGAAGTGGAACTTGAGAGTCAAGGTACAGAACGATCTACAGAAGGAAAAAAAACATCATCTGTGTCTCAAAATGACTTACTAACCATGGAAGTGAATGTAGACAAATCATCCAGTGTTAATAACCAGCTTAATTTGGGTAGTACGTATGACAAGAATTCTGAATGTCTTTGTTCTTCTGATTCTCAACTCTCAACCTGTAGCTCTGTATCTATACAGAGAGAAGATGCATCAAAATTATGCTTTCATTTGGTGAAAGGTGTTGATGTCCATTCAGGTATTATAAAACTTTGTTCTCCTTCTCTGGTAATGAACAGTACTGAAAAAAAAAGTGATCTTAAGTCCTCAAGGCGGGAAATAGATGGAAAAAGTAATTTCCACTGTGATTTGTATCATTATGAAGAAGCTGAGGATATACACCTGCAAAAATATGCTTCTATTTCTGAAGACAAAAGTTCCAAGAACATTTCATTAGAGGCTGCTCAGGAGAGCAGAAATTATTCTGCAGTCCTAAAAGAAAAGTATTCATTGCCTGTGAAAAGGGATGACAAAGAATGTAAGACTCTGCCAGTCAGCTCTACAGAAGCACATTTAGCTGGTATGGGTTTTGATAAAAAATGTGTTACATCTTCTGAGGCAGGAAAAAAATTTCACATCACTAAAAGTCCACCTTTTGAGGATATAACTTTTGGCTTTAGCAAAGTAAAGAGAGCTGAAACCATAAGTCAAAGGAACAGTCGTCTTCTGGAATCACTAGAACTAAAGAAGATGAAAAATAAAGGCAGTACTTCTGAAGGACCTGTTATTTCATCTGTATTTTCCCTTAGCTCTGGGGCTGAAAACATTCCAGAGGATGTCAGATGGGTTGACAAAACACGCAGTAAGAAGTCAGCAACATTGCTGTGTAGAAAGATTGCTCAGCTCATGTCTGAATCTAACATGAAATCCCTGCCTTTGAGATGTCAAGCTTCTCGTAAGAAGGTGCTTGTGCCTCAAGAAAGTTCAGCAAGTTGTGAGAGAGTTGTATGTGCCACTGAAGTGGAACAACCTGTAACTCAAGAGCATGGTGAAAACAGTGTGATTAGTAGCAAAGAGCACAGTGAAGATCGGCTATTTACATTTGCAAGAACATCTAAAAACAGGGTGACTAAAAATTCCCATGTTGCTACTCCCATATTTATCCCCAAAGGGACAATGCTGAGAGTGCTGAATGCTACTAGCAGTCAAAACTCAGATGGAATAGAAAACAGCGGTGAAACATCAGCTCCTTCTGTGTATTGCAATGAAATGTTTCTGCCTCGCCCGGTCCCTGTTAGTGTTTCTGAGACACTTAGTGATAATTTGCCATGTTTGCCTAATCAGAGTGAACCAAATTCCGAGTCCCGAAGTATATCGCTCAGGCAAAGACCAAAGCGAGAGGCAAGTGTTAAAAATAGTAGCAAACAAACTGGTGTACCATTTCAGAAAAGCAGTGATACAAGCAAGCCAAGCAAGCCCTATTCAAAAAGTCAATTAAGTCCCAAAAATAAGGCAAAACAAGCAAGCTTCAGAGAACTTCCTAAGAGGAAAACAAGAACTCAGTTGGAAACCACTTCAAGTTCTGACATGTCGTACCTGTTGACAGCAAGACGTCTTCGGCTTGTCCCTCTGAAAATGAATCAGTTGATAAAATGCCCTCGTCGTAACCAGCCAGTTGTGGTACTAAACCATCCTGATGTTGATTCACCAGAGATAATTAATGTCATGAAGACTATCAACAAGTATAAAGGTCAAGTCCTGAAAGTAGTTCTGTCAGAAAGGACAAGTAGTTGTCTTGGTGTCAAACGTTATCGAAAGCGTCTTACTCTTCAGAATGTTGAGATAGGAAACCAAACAAAAAAGCAGAGTATGCTAAAAATGAAGCTGAAAAAGACCCATAAAAACAACTACCAGGTGGTGGAAACCTCACCACCTGAAGCACTTCGGTGTCTGTTTAAGTGTTGGTTTTGTGGAAGAGTATATATGGACCAAGAAGAATGGATAAGTCACGGACAGAGGCACTTAATAGAGGCAACCAAGGGTTGGGATGTTCTTTCTCTTCAAGCAAAAAACCATTAAGTGAGAGACTAGCGGAGGTTTCCTCTCTTGTTTTTAATGAGTGCCACTAATATGCTCGGGATGGAGGATTGAAATAACTGCTTTATTTTGCCAAAAGATCTCTGCTGTTAGCAAAGTGGAAGAAGAGAGCAGAATTAGAGAGAGAGAGAGAGAGAGAGAGAGAAGCCGATAGCAAGGATTAAGCACTGCTTTGCACTCTCGTGCTTGAAATTTGTATTGGAGTTCAATTTCATCTGTTCCACGGGAGAAATTTGAAAAAGATTTGCTATGCAAACATCTTTCTACTTACCCTAGGATACTGTGCTGTAACTGGTTTGTGCTAGGTCTCTGTGGATTAAAGTCTTAGATCTTTGTAAATTTCCCAAATCTTCGTTCGCGAAGCCTAGCCGTGATAATAGGATTTAGTTTGCTTTATTACAGCATGGTGTGTCAGAGATCGAGCACGTGTATACTGGAAAGCACCTTTGGTCCTCCGTGGACAGCAAGTGTATATCATAGGTTTTAGTGGCAAACTAAGCACTATCCATAAAAAGTAAAAGTTAAATGCAAGTGCTCTGTTTCAGTGGAGTAAAAACACTTCTGCTGACTTCAGAGGAGATACAAGGGTGTAAGTGAAAAATCTGTGGAATCAGTTACTCCCCACTAGGTCAGATAGCACTAATAAGTTTAATTTTGTTTAGTACTTAGACTTTACTTAGCCTGTATTGTGTAGATGTGAAAGAACAGAGCAGTCAGGTGTCTGTACCATCAAGCCAGATATACAATCAGGCTTGAGTTGATAGGAACAAGAAGCACTTCTCTATATGGCCTGTAGGCTGTTCTGAAATAGTAATAGCCAGACATAAACCCTCTACCACCATGTGTGTGATAGAATATTTACAGAACTCAGCATTTGGTTAGAACTCTAGTTAGTGAGCTTATTTACAGAGGAACTTGCTGAAGATGAAGACTTTTCAAAATGAAAAGCCACGTTGCACAGTTTTATTTTGACAGTGTTGAATCAGATTTTCAGTGCAATCTTTCATCATTCTTAAGAATTTAGATGTTAGAATATATTTTTTGTAAGCCTCAAATTCATACAAGTGTGTGCCTAGTTACAGATCATGTCTAACATGTACCTACTGACTTCGATGTAGTGTGAACATTGCTCAGTTTCTTAAACAAATTTCTAAATCAGGGCCAAATTTCAAGTTTTAGTAAAGAAGAGGGAAGAATAGATGTTTCTCTTCATCTTGTCAATTTTAAATCATTTTAGAATCATATAGAATGAAATATATTGAAGCACTTACAATTAAAATAACTTCTTACAGTTTTAGGGATAAGAAAATCAATACTGACTCTAATGCTGGATGTGTGTTTTATGTTTGAACTGGGACTTCTCTTGAAAAACTGGTAGTCCCTGACTCTTTCCACTCTTGGTGCATTTTTGTAAACAGTTTAAGCTGGGAATATTTTTTATATACTCCAGCAGATTATACATTGTTTTGATAAGGTATTTGTCATGTCTGCATTGAAATGTAAATATTTTAAAACTACATTTGACTGAGGTTTATTTTCAAAACCACTTATTGCTTTCCCATAATTTTGCAATACAGTGTTAAAATCCTTCAGACAGTTGGTGCTTTAAGTCAGATCTTTTTTGTCATGTACACATTGAAAATTTTTGTATCATTTGTATCAGACTAACCTATTCCACAGAACAAACTTCGTTTTGCCTGTTTTGTCAATAATAAGGAAATGACAGTTCTCATTTTGTATTCAAATGGAATTATATTTTTTTAGATGGGTACACTAGAGGGTTTTTTTTTCACTTCATATACTTCGATGCCAAACCTAACAGTGCTCTTTGCATTTTCAATAGTGAGAATAGTTTCCGTTTTAAAATTCTGGCATATCATATACAATAAATACTGAAATGGTTAACATAAAAACCCCCACAAACTCCTTCAGTCCAGGTTACTGTTTGAATTAATTTTGTTTCTGTAGAAGCTACTAAATAAATAGTTTTGAATTTGCTTTGTAAGAGTTGTCACTGGCGAAATTAAAACATTGCTTGTGAAAGTTGTACTGGGGAGGGGTGGGGGAGGTGTTGCTGCTCAGCTTTAAAAGCTCTGGGTGGATTAAGTATACTAGTAATGCTTGTCTTCGTCTGTAAGCAAGTTTACTGTTTACTTGAGTAAAAATCTGCAAAACTCGATATGTCACTCCCATAACCTGCTATCTGAATTGTTGAGATGTGGGGGTTTTATGGTTCTTAGTTTAGAATTTTGTTTTGTTTTGTTTTTTAACATGGAAGTCTTTTGTAAGTTAAATTGTAGTGTGGCTATGAAATCCTTAAAGCAAGTTACATCATGCTTCTTTTTCTTTTTATGAGCTCTGCTAAACTCTACTTTTAGCAGCTTCTGTTTTGTTAATTTTATTCTTATTAGAAAATGTTATGTCAGAGTAATTTCCTTTGAGTTTAACAGGTTCATCAGTTTGAGAGAAATAATTACAGTGAATGTTCTCTTGCATTTTGATGCAGCATCGAGAAATAAAAATGTTTCAAAAAAATAACAACCTAAATTTTTTTAGAGCTGGTTTGTGCCACCTACTACGTCATAAATTGGGTTGGAATGTTGTGGTTTTGGGCTTGAGTGTTTTTATTCTTGTTCCTATTCTTAAGGATAAAGTAACTGAGGTTACTTTTTTGTATATTCCAATTACCTAGCCAAACTTTCTGAGTGTGCTTAGAAAGGAAGACTATGGATGCTATGCAGAAAAAAATCTGAAGTTTGCCTTTCATATACATATGGAATTCAGTTAGGGCTTCCAAAACTCAGATTGTATGAATAAGTATTACGCTATTTTTTTGCTGGAAAAAAGTCACATTCTCATGTTCTTTGATACACACTGGAGCATGTTTTCTTGCTGAGTTTGAAGCACATCTACTGTTCCTATTGATTTTTATCTCTATATTTGCACATAGTATGAATCCAAAGTGACTGTTTGCGTAATTATTCTACTTATGTGTTTGAAGGCTCAGGGATGGAATACAAGTATCTGCTACGCAAGTTAAAGAGTAAGTGTTAGCTGTAATTATGTAAATTCTATTACTTAACCATCTTTATAATCTGCTCCAATACCTATGAGCAGCAGCTAACACTCACTGACTTCAGTGCTGGCTGAGCACAGCTTGTTGTTGAGCAAACATACGCACACCACATGAAATTGTTAGACAGTGAGAGCTCTGGCACATAGCATTTCATGTGTATTTTTAAAAACAAGAATATTTTTTTTTATATGACTGTGATATGCTTTATTAGCTTTTGCTACTTAGTGGAGTTTCCATGACATTTAGGTGAGTAAGGGTGAGTTTGGTTTCCATCTTATGGCAGAAGGTAAAGTGCAAGATAAGCAAATTGGTCCGTCGTTGTCAGGATACCAGGAGTCGGTTTCTGCACTTCTCTGTGAAGTAATACGTTGACATACACTTTACCTGTATCCTCAAAGTTAGATTGCAACAATCAAAAAATGGAGTAGATCTGTAGAATGCTACATATTATGGGGAGCTCCTCGCTCAAAAGGCTAATCTGATTTTTGAGACATTTAAATAACTGTTCTGTTTACATCTGTACAAATGAATCTGCGATGTTAAGGCAGAAAACATCTGCGTGACTTGAATGGATGTGTGAGGTAGCATTGTTCTCTGTGAGTTCCTGACTGATCCTTTCCGTCAATGAGTTTTATGGGAACATGTTTGTAGAATTCAATGATCTCTTCCACAGAATTAAATTTCTAGGGGGGAAAAAAATAGTAATCAGTGACTGAAAATACAATTACTGTATGGTTTAATCTATAATATTAAAAGACTGTTAATTGACAGTATTAAAAATAGGTAGTATTTTGCACAGAATTATGATTAGATGGAAGTGATTATAAAAGGAAAAGTACCATATTTTGATCCTCTTATTTCCTTTGTGTGTCTCTGTCTTGTGTAGGAGAAAGTAGCTGGCTGCTTAGGGTGAAAAGGGAGCATATCTAAGCTCTGATAATACAGTATCACCTATAAAAGTTTGTGATGCCAGGTGTGATGACAGATGTTGAAATGACAAAATAACTATAAATCATCACTAATTTTTGCTGGCAAAAGTTGCACTTAATTAGCAGTACATGATACTTTACGCTGCAAGTTTCATTATTAAATGTAACCTTTTCCCCCCCATTCAGTTTCTTGAGAAAGTTGCTGTAAAAGTGTGGAACAAGGAGCATCCCAGCAGAGTAGTATTGTTCTCTTGTGCTCAAAACAAAGACAACCTCCAAGCACATTGCTAAAGTGATAAAGGTGTAGTTCATGATTGCTGACTTGATTAAACAGCAACAAAAAGCTATCCAAGGTGTCTATCCTCATCTGTCCTAGTGAAGGCATCTTAATCCTCCCAATCCACTGGTTAGCAGTCCTTCAGTTTAAATAGTTCTCTTCCTTATGTGTAACTTCTAAGCTCTCATCACACCATGAAGCTCTCACCATATTACTGTTTTTCCTCTTGGTCTATTCTTTGGACTCATTGGTATTAAATCACTAGGACTGCACACAGTAATGCAAGCTTACTTTGGCATTAATACTTATCATGTATTTGTGTAACATTTACTGTGATTGTGAACCTTCATTGTACACCTGGTGGTATCTTGTCATAGATTCTCTCATCCCCACCTGTTTCACACCTAGATTATAACAACAGAATCTGATTAAATATGTGATTTGGTGAAACTGTTTCTGTATTAAGATGAAAGCCATTGTGCTAATTTTTTTAGGGGTTTTTTGATAATTTTTACTTGTATGCATTTGTTCTACTTTGCTGTCTTGTCTTTGTTTATGTTCAAAGTCCCTGTTGCTACTGAAAATCCAGACAAAAACTGTGGTTTGTATTTCATACCATAACAAAGTAACCCTTACTTTTTTTATTCTAAACATTTTGTGAGCACCAATTCTTTTCCTGCTTTCTAATGCTTTTTCGTTGGCTGGGAGGTTAAAAAGTCTTACTGTAATTGTTCACCTGCTTTGGAAATTTAACTAGGCTAATGTTACATTATTCATTGCTGTACCTTTAAGCTGTAGTTCTTTGGTAATGAGGAAAAATGTTTCAGATGTTACTTAGGTATTTTTTTCTATTTTATTTCATGTTCTACTCTTATTTGAATTAATGAATTTTAATATATTAAGCTCTGAGTCTCTTTATGTCTGCTAGAACATGAAGTTGACTTAGACACTATAGTGATGAGGTCTAGAATTTTATGTCCTCAGATCTTTTAATGGAACTCTCCCCCCACTTCGTTAGGTGTAAAGACACCTAAAGACATAGAGATGAAGAAAACTCAGTACCTGATTTGTTTCCCTTCACTGTGTGAAGAAACTCAAGCAGTCTCTACTGTCATAGGAATGTGTATCTGCTGGTCTCCAGACTGTTCTGGAGAGATGGGAATAGGGTCTCAAGGATTGCTCATGAAAGATATAGTTTTGAATTGTGTTGGGGTGGTGGCAGGACTCTGGGCTCTGTCACGCATCCTGAATGAGACTGTTCATCCTTGAGCTGTCATTTAAGCTGTGGACAAGATGTTTACCTTGTAAATATCTTTCTCATTTGGAAGTATTGGCTGTTTGCTGTGCTTGTTCTCCTGGCAGTAACTTTTGACATAACATTGTCAGTGGAAGGCACCATGGAAGTGCTCCCTAATCTACTCAGATGAGGCAGGCCAGTTTGATGGCTGGTGAAGGTAGGTGGAACTAATCCATTTGACTCACATGGAAATAAACTGACTGAAATGATGTAGCTGGTATGACTGATAGTTTGGAGATGAAAGTTAGCTGCAAATGGAGTGGTGAGAATGGAGAAAATATCTCTGGCCAGAACAGGGAGATCCAGAGATCTACACCAGGCCATGCACTAAGCTTCTTTGTAAAATAGGCACGGAGTTGAAGAAAAGCCTACTTCTGCCTTTGATTTTTAGTTACTGAATTGGGAGTTGAGCCTGGTGCTGCAGACACGCTAAAACCCTGTATTTTGTGTGTGGCAGATCTAGTTTTGCAAAGGAGATAAGAAAAATATTTAAATTTTGTGTCATTATCATCTTTATATGTGAGCAAGGTTTGTATTTTTTCATCTTCAAAAGAGTTGTGCACATGAAAAGAGGCAGTATTACAGGATCTCTGAATCTTTACTAGTGAAACTGTCTGGCATAGAGAGAGGCAATATCCAAGTAAATTGTGCTCAGGACAGCTGTTTTGAATGTAAATGCCTAAATTCTATGTATGCCTCATTTGGGGATCTGATCTTTATAGCTTTATATGATTTGGCCTTTAGTAAGCTCAGTATAATATATTAAATATGTATTTAGGTGTGAACATCTGTGGCTAAATTGCTAGCAAAAGATGTACCTTCACCAAGAGAGTTAGTAGTGGATTGTTCCCTCCCCCATCCCTACTTGTATTCATTATATTAGAATTTGATACTAATTTAGCTGCATGGAACTTCAGTTACTTCAAACATAAAAATCTGATCATCAACCCCTCTTCCCCCCCTCTTCAAGGCCTTATAGGGCTACATCAGAGCTAATGATAGAAGTACTCATGAGAGTTGAATTAAATAAGTTTTAAAAGTAATTGTTAATTGAAAATCTTATTCGATGATACAATGCGTTAACAACTTGTAAACTGTATGTGAAAAATCAAAAGTTGCAGTAGTATAGGGAAAACTTTGAACAATTATATTTACATATAAAAAAAAGTATCTTTTTAATGGATGAAAATAGACTAATTTGAAAGTGAAAACACGCTGCAGAAAATCTATTAAGACTGAACCTCTGAACAAAATCACCAACTGGGGAGAAATACAGTAGGTCTGCACCTGTTTGTTGGTGTTCAGATTTCTTTCTCTTTGGCAGGTGAAGAGGGAATATTCAGCTAATCTAGATAGAGCAGCTGGTCTGGCTGCACTGTGCTGTGCAAAATGTGGTGTAACAAAGGGTATCCCTGCTGAGGGACAATGCAGAGTGCTCTGGAAAGCATTTTAACAGGCACTGGAAAATTACAGGCAGCAATTTGCTGTAATTCACAGCCCTACAAAGTGTTTTCACCCTCCTGAGAAAAGAACCTCAGACGAGCTGCAGAAGTCGAGATGAGAGTTTTCAAGAAAGCATTTTTAGGGAATCCCTTGAGACTGCCTGAAATGGAGGAAGCTCTTCTGAGCAGTGTTGGTGCCACTGATTGTTCATTACTGCCCATGTGCCTTGTACCCAGTTCTGTTTTCAAGTCTTGCTGCTGAGCATAATAAACAGGAGTAGGAGATTGCCATGTCTGTGATTCTTTGGTACAACGCTTCATTAACTGACTAGCAATGCAATTCTGGAATTTTTCTGTTGTACTTGAAGTACAGGAGGATTTCTGAGTTAAAGAGAAACAATACTTAAAAAAGAAGGCTTAAGGTAAGGTGCCGTGATTATGGATTTGACCTGGTAGAGCCAAGTCTTGATTGTTGGCTAGGTGCTTGGAATCCTTATTCTGGAATTTTTACTTTCCAATTTGACTGTTTTCATTCCAGACCCACTCTTAAGATATGTCCTGTCTGTGCAGAAGTTGGAACAAACAACAAAGACATATATTTTGGTATTTCCTGAGATGGGAGGGATTGTGTTCTCCTTCCTTTTAGTTCAGTAAAAATTGTTCATGTACTGTTCAAGTAATTTTCTAGTTGCCTTAATTGTTAAAGCTGTTAAGATTATGAAAATTTAGCTTTATGTCTTTATTCTGTAGTCTACCATACACATACTATCTTATGCTGCAGTGTGCCATATTTCAGTTGTTGTTTCTGATCTGAGCCAGGAAGATTAAACAATGTAAGAACCATGGAAAACTAAACTTGCTTTCTCCTAAATCATACTTAAACTCCAGGAAATCTTCTGTGAGGTACAGTTCAGAAATGCAGTCAGTCCTTTACAGAAGACTGATGGTCACTACAGCAGCACCAGGACGATGGTACCTGCAGTACAATTCTCGATTTCTGCTACAGTTCTGCTTCCCAAAGTGTTTGAATGTGCTTGAATAATGAAGGATTTTCTCTTGCCCCTCATCATTAAACCAATGTTCCTGAAGAACAACCTGCCAGTAAACCTTGTCCCTCTTGTGAAAGCTCATAAATCCTATCCCATGTTTTCTAATAAGAATTCTAATATAAATTCTGAACCTGTCAAATGGTTGAAGTTGGCTTCGGTCACTTGTGACTTCAGGTTTTTTTAAGTCTCTCTATGCAAAAGGTAAGTTTTGAGAAGTATTGACGTGCGTGGAAAGGGCATAATTGAAGATTTAGCTACAGAGGCTTTGCTGCTTAACCTGAGTTAGATTTGTCAGTCATTTACATAGCTGATAACACATAGGAGGTTGTTGCTTTGCTTTTTTGCTCTGCAGCTGAGCATTCTTGAAGTTTTAGGATTTATTTTTTTTTTGCACATATCACATTTTTATAGAGATGACTTTCAGGTTTAATGTTTTTTCCTTTTGTTAAAGACTTGCAGATACAGTGTTATTTAACAATATAGTTAGAATAGGAATTAGACTCCTGTCATGACTAGAATTGAATTGAATTATGTGAAAAAGCATTGCTAATCTAAAGGGATTTTCTAATTGAAATTTAGCATATCTGAAAGACTGATTGCTGGGGACCCACATGATTTAATTGCTTCTGAATATCCATGACAACTGTTGTCCCATTGCCTCATTAAAAAAAAAATTCTCCTTTTGCTGTATGAGGCACAGACAACAAGAGATGTTAAACAGCAAAAGCAGCACCAGGCCCTGCTGTCAGATATGTGAAGTTGTGTGTATTTGAAAATGTTTGCTTATATTATCACAAGTTTAAAAATGTGCTAAAATAATATGTATACTTGAAAAGGTAGAACTTTTCTTTCCCTTTTACTTTGCAGGTGTTACTTACAGTAGATAGAAGTATTGTAAGTACTTAGGAAAGTTTTACATTGATGTAAATCTGAATTTGAGTATGATATGTAAAATTTGGTTTTAAATTATTATGTAAGCTGCTTGAAAATTTGAGACATTTGAAATGAGAGTGTTGTAAAAGAAGCTAATGAAACAGCAAGTTCATTATATGGGAGAGTTTGTAACTAATATTTAGTATTAAGAACTTATGAAGTGCAACATAAAAGCTATAGACTGTAACAGCAGATGGGATTTTACTTACACCATCTCCTCTGAGCCCTGTTCCCAGTGCATATTGTTGGCTTTCTTCCAGAAAACGTACTTTAATGTTGTATACTCTTCTTCCATAATAAACAACCAAAACATATGGTTCAGCCTTTGATTTCTTTGAACAATCTCTAACCAAGAATGTCTCATCCTGTATGATACAGATTTAAATTACAGATTGTATGGTTAGTTCACAACAAGACTTGTAAGCCATTATGGACAATTTACAGAAATTTTCCCCCAAGAGTTTATACCCTAGGTTTTGAGATAAATGGTACTTACAATGCTTTCCTGTAGCAGTGCCTTCTCTGCTTCATGGCGATCGTATTCTCCAACGTACCATTCACATTTGTTTAAATCCTTAATTTTAAGATATCGTAATCAGTGTATAGAAATTAACAACAGCTGGCAGAAGCAAAGCCAGTGAAAACAGATTGTATCTAATCCGCATTTAAAGCACATTCAGCGTAGTATATAAAAGTATATGCATATATCCATATATATCTATATATGTATATAGATGTAGATATATAGTCCTGTTAGGAAATGTTAGTCAAATCAGACATTCAAATTCTTATCTATGGTTTCAAGAGCTCATATTGGATTGTTTTGAAGAGTGCTGAATAACCACAGCTTTCAGAGGGGGTGGTGGGGTGGTGCCCTATGCTGTTAATCCTGTTTCCTAAAAACTTGTGTTTTTATGAAGCAAAGCTGGTCTTTACCTCTTCAGTGGGTTGGGTAAGAAATTGCATTTCCTGTTCTACAAGTGAATATTTTGATTTATTTTTGCATACTGTGTATGGTGTAGGAGATGGTGACCTCTTCACTGTCAAGTTCTCTACATTTAGCGTGGAGCCTGTAAAAGTAAATTCAGAAGGAAAAGAGTTATATTCTTTAAATTAAACTCATAGTTTCATTTTACAGAATGTTTTACTGAGTAAGTCTGAGAATAGCCCTTCTAGTTTAGAAATATTGTGACATTAACCTTTAAAATTCAGAGCTGTCAGTTAGGAGTGGTCTTGTGCTAATGCAGCATCAGTGATTTCAGACTTTTCTGTGATGTCCCCAGAGATTTAACACAGTTTCCTGATGGTTTTTAATTCACTTCAATCTGCCAGTGCACAATACCAAAATAATAAACTTAATAAAATAGCAAATACTAAATAAAATACTGAATGTGGGACAAGGGTAATGGTTCATTCTGTTCTATTTTCACCTTTTGAGCCCCCTTTATTTGCTTTGGGTCCCAGTTGCTGTTATGTTGGATCATATTATATCCCCTCATTATCCATTGCCAGCCAGCATTGTTTCTGCCGAGCTGTTGAAACCTTGACGGATTCAGAGGTTCTGCCACGCTGATGAATTTCAGTCTGCTCTGTGACTTGTTTCAATTAACAAATTCAAGACCGAGGGGTGAGGTTGCTCTTGCATTAAGATGAAGGTGGTGGTCCTTGGCTGTGTGCACCTGCTCCATACTGGGCCAGTGATGAAGAGAGCTTGCTCCTTCCAGAGCAAATGTGATTTGCTGTCTGTAGATTTAGGGCTGCTGTTTAACAGACAGACCCAGTTCCCCAAGTCTCTGGGGAGCTGTGCAAGCACAGGGGATGGGGCAGGAACACAAAGCATGGGGTAATATGAGAGGCTTGGGTTAGCTCTGATCAGGATGCAGCAGAAACAGCCTGAGAAAAGCAAGGACTTCCTTTCACTTTGAAGATCAAATATAGTTTGCAGGTACGTGATACGGGGAAAAACTGTAAATTGAAGATGAAAAGAATCATATCCTGCTATACAACAGAAAACATTTTTGTTTGTTTCATGCAGTGCTGGTGGGAGAAATAACCTAATGTCTATTGTAAGAGTAAATGAGAAGAATATGGTTACCAATGGCTTCCATCTTTTCCTTCTGGTTACTGTCACCTGAGACATTATTGTTTGCCAGAGCAGTATTTCATTGTGCTTTATCTGTTCAAGTTTTATCAGTTTATTATTCTTCTGCTCATATGCAGCATATGATAGAATATTAAATTTTACTTGGAAGACTTTCTTTTACAGAGGAGTAATAGTTTTCCTTGTGTTTCACTGTTCCATTCGTACATGTACCAAGTTGTGATTTATAATAGCATTATATTTGTTTTTAAAACAACATCCACTGATAGCAGTAGTCAAACAGCCACGATCTTCAGCAGGCAAGCAGTCTATTCAGCAATTAAATCACTGCTCAAAATAAACAGTGGGACCAGACATCTACCTTTTGTTTTTGTAATCAGTTTGAGTTGTCAAAATGTGAAATATTGTTACTGTTCAACTGATTGCATCATGATTTTTGCATTTTTGTTTGCATTGTATTTTTAGTGCCTATCCCCAGCTTTGTGACCTGTGCTGTGTATGTTTTAAAGATTTTTTTTTTTTTCTGCTGCATCTTAGACTGTGGGACAAGACATGTAGAATTCTATTGTAATGCTCATGTACTGAGTTTTGCTGGGATGGAGCTAACAACAGCTTGTCAAGAAATTGTAGAAGAATGTTTTAGATTTTTGCACAGAAAATAATTTGTTTTTAATAATAAAAGCTAAAACTTCCAGAGAGAGAAACATAAAATCATTTAACTTGGAAAAGACCTTTAAGATCATCAAGTCCAACCATGAGCCTAACACTCATGTTCTTATATAGGAGTAAAAAAAAAAGGATATTAGTATAAATTTTATAAAATTAAGTCTTGAAATATTTTTTAATACTAATATGGACATAAAAGACAATTGTAGGGTACCAGAGGGAAAGGCTACTTGTACTCTCCCTGTTGCTTCAGGAGAGCAAGGCAGTGACAGAGGGAAAAAGATACTGTGCTGTTCCAGAGAGCTCCCAAAGAGCCCTGGTAGTGATGGTAGGAAGTGTCTGAAGTGGCAGCAGCAAACAGAGATCTAAATGAGCTTTGTGAATTATGTAAAGAATGACTTTTAGTAAGTATCCAGAGGAGAATGTGTGCGATTGCACCCCTGGCACAAGAAGGAAGCAGCTCAGTGGAGGGAGCCCACCAGAATCTGGGAGCGGGGGGAGGTGGGCTTGTTTAGCCTGGCAGTGACCAAAGTTAAGTTGAATTCTACTTGATCTGAACAAATAATACAGTCCATATGTTCTTCCTGATGGTATTTGCTTTTACCATAAGTTCACATTATGCAGTTCATAGGTTCCTGGCACAGCTTAGATGTTTGTTTTTTTGATAGAAGTGGTATTTGCAGAGGCAGTTACAGGAGAGTTAAAGTATGCTATGTAATCAAGGACAGCAGGAAGTCACCAGCGTGGATGATTCTTACAGATCCTCAGTCCCCAAAGCCCCTGGGTCTTCCAAGTCATGAACTCTGTTTTTGAGGAATGGAGATACAGCATGAGCTAACTTGGCTGAATGACATTCAAAAAATCAGAAAGACTAAGGTCATGTTTTTTCTAAGTATTCCATGTGAGGTACAGATACACCTCTTTACTAAACAATTTGTTTGTGAAAGATAAATATATGGAATTTCCTTTGTAGCATTTTTATGCTGTTCTGCAAAAAGAAATAATATTTACAAAACAGAATAAGTGTTTTCTTGTGCTTTCACAAATTCATAATCAAATTTGCCTCGCTCTTCGAAAGTATGTAGGTACATGCTGAGTTGGTTTTTTTGTCTCTTTTGGGTTTATGAAAGTACTTTTTAAAGCAGGTGTAGGTATATTAAAAGGTAGGGATGAGCCACATAGCAATTTTGGGTTAAATACTAATGAGACCATATTTTTCTAAAATTAGGTAGAGGGGTTAGTGAATAACAGATACAATATGATATGACAGCAAAAAACTAACACAAGTGTTTGTAGAAGTATTGTCTTCAAGGTTAGAGAGATTTTGCTTATGAATCTAGTGAAACTACTCCTGTGCGCTGGATTCACTTCTGACAGTCTTAAGAAGTCCAGGGAAAATGAGCAGAGAGACGTGGCCTTGGTTCCTGGGGAAGTCATACCACAGGTAGTTTCTTGGCAGAGCACCCCAGCAATCAATGTTAATGTTGGCTTCCAGTATGTTCCCTTAGGTAAAGCCACAGAGTCCAGGGGAAGTCCTATTTCCAACCATAATTTGATAGACCTGCCTGATAATGGCACTTACATGTCCTTGCCTTTAGGAATCTGGGATAAATCTAAAGCAATTTCTTCAGAGAGTGGTTTATTTGTTTACACAAAAGCATTTACCCCATAGTAGCTGATCTATGATGTCCCAAACATCTCTAGCTTCCATTTAGCCCAGCTGATTGCATCTCTGCCTGAAAAAGCAGAGAAGGTTGTGCTCACAGCATGCCCTTTCTTTGTACTCCCAAGCAATTTGCGTTCTCTTCCTCTCTCCATTGTTCTCCAAATCCCTCTCCTGTTCTGGGTGTGGGGGTCTGCAGTGGTTTAACACTTGCAGTGTAGGTTGGGTATTTCTTTGCTTGAACCAGGCATAGGGTAATAGCAAGTAACTGCTTGTTTTTGTTCTGCTGTTGACTGTGCCATTGTTTTATTTGTTGTCTGCTTCCTTTATTTAATAATCCCTTTGCACTAACTCAGTGCTTTGAAAATCCTCAGTGCAGATATACATGCATAGCAACCAAAATCTGTTTCTTAATCTTATTTCTCCACATTTACTTTGGTTTTCAAAGCCATCTCTGGTTCTTACCTGAGCTGCAATTGGTTTTAGGGCTCCATGTACATTGAGGGCTAGGAAAAAGCATTGAATGAAGGCATCATCAGAAAAATATTTTTTTTGGTGGCAGTGTAAGAGTCAAATTAGAGGGCAATGCATAGCTGTGCTTCCCCAGAATGCCCCTTCCTCTACTCATGTCAGCTTTGGACCTTCACAGGTTTTGGGTGGTAATTTTGTATTTAGTGTCTTTTGATAGATTTCTCTTCCCTTAATTTCACCAGCCACTTTTTGAAGTTATATACATTTTTTTTACTCTCCAGAAGAGTGTTTGGTAAGAGGTCCACAATTTAACTGCATGTGTAGTGAAGCACAATTTGCTTTTGTTCCCTGCTAATTTCACCTGATGTTTCCAGTCCCTCTACAGGAAGACCCAGTTCCCTGCCTGTTCTGATTTTCTAGGCCTCTGCTGAGTGCCCAGCTGGTATTTTGTTGTGCGATTAATTGGAACAGTTACACTGGGAAGAGCATCGACCAAATAACTTCATATAACGGAGCCACTGGTACCACACCAGAAGAAACAGAATACTAAGGGTGACAAATACTGTTGCATTTACTCCAGACAATAATTTTATCTTGGAGAATGCCATCATTGTAAACAAGGCTAGATATGAGATTCTGTATTTGTCTAGGAAAGATGTTGAATGATTCATATACTTCCTATGCTTTCAGCTATACTTTTGGTTTGTTGTTGAGTATTTTGGGAGAATATAGATTTAAAAACACATTTAGAAAAGAGATTTGTGTGGGTTAGAAAAGAAAAATAGGACTAACTGTGGCAAATTTCTATGGAAGAATAATTGGCCTTTGAAAGGCCAGGTATGTATCCTTTGTAAATAAAAATAGAAAATGAGTAGGAGAGAAAATTCTGAGGCTTGAGATAGCAGAGCTTCTTTATACAGTATATTTAACACCGTATCACAGAAATAGCAACAGAAATGTCATACAGCAGCATGCTATTAAAGATAAAAATTGGCTATGCAATTACAAAAGCTTGAAAGCAACTCCCAAAGATGGTTCTTGTCATGCATCAAGGCAAAATATAATATAACACTGCATGGCATCAGAAAGTGATATCATCTTGCTGTTATTGCATAGTGAGGCATAATTTTCTAGGGCAGAATATTTAATCTTTGAAGCATCCAGCACAAACTCATGAAATTCTTATATTCCTACCTGACTTCAGGATGATGCTGTTGTGCTTGAAAAGATACTTCAGATTTCTTCCCCAAACTTGTAACTATTAGTAAAAAACGATAAGAACTTATTATTTCCTCTTAAGTGTAACTGACAGTATCTAGCAACTACTGTGAAATAAATTAACTACATTCATAAATGAGGGTGAAGCAGTTCAATAGAAAAACTTAAAAGGCTGCAATCAATCTGGCTTGAATGAGTCAGCTAATGATTTTGGTGGGAAACATTTATCCTAGTAGTGAGTGTTACATGGGGAACATTACAGGGTTTGCTGATGCCAAATATGGCTGAACATAATAGTAAATAATGTAGAATGCTGAACTAGAGGTATGTGGAGGGTTCATAAATCCTTTTTATAGAACAGAATAGGCATTGAATTTATTAATGCAGTCAATACTATTTCTTGCTGAAAATCAGGAAACAGTGCCTTAATCCACAAAAGGAAATGCCAGAGGAAATGATGAACTCATTAACGCGAACTGTAAACAGCATAAAAGTCACGTAACCTGTATCTACCTTCCAAGTATTTTGGAGTAATGTTTTTCATGGACCTTCATGCACGCATACATAAACACACATGCACACATGGACCTTCACAGACACACAGATAAACAGCTTAAGCTGTTTAATAAAAAAACCTTTCTTTCAAAATTCTCACCCTCAAATTATGGGAGAGCAGCAAGATGGAGAAGAGTGATGTCCTCTGTGCAGATCTCTTTCTTCTCTTGGTTTTTTAGACTCCAACACACTTATTTTTCTCAAAACCTTAAGTTATTTTCTTAGAAAAAATGTGATACCCTGGTTCCCCACATAGCTGTAGCTAAGTCCAAGTTAAGTTCCTTTTTTCTGCTGCATTTTCCACAACTATTGAGGTCTCTCTAAATCTCTCTGTTCCCAGCAGGTCTTGCTTCAGTTGGAATTTTAATGATAGGCTATTTCAGTTTTGGAATATGAAGGAAAGACATCAAATTATTATTATTATATATTAAATACTGACCTTGCTCTCTTCCAGGTGCCTGTATGAAATGATAACATAGTAAATATTTTTCTTTGGATTAATGACTTTAATTTACCCCAATAAACCCAACTATATTTCAGTTTGTCAAAAACCCAGGCTGAATGCTTATGTCAGTCCACTGGTGACAATGAGAACTGAATTTTTTAGAAGTGTAAATGAACATATGGTTTATTGCAATGATCACCAATTCATGATGACTGTTGTACATCAGTTTAACTTACAATGTGGTTTTCCTTTCTTGGTCTTAATTGACTGGAGAGATACTATCCAAAGACTAAAATCAGTAATTTCTTTTCAGACTCTGACTGTACAGTACAGACAGTACAATTATTTTTACTCTCATGGCAGATACTTCATTCAAAATCACTGTGTGGAGAGTATTAATCCATCATATTATGTAACATATAAGTGAATGATACACAGGTTTCTAAAGACCAGAGTTTGACTCATAAACTTTCACTCTATTTTTATATTATTTTGATTCACATGGGAATAGTAATTATTTTGTTTGTTAATTTGATACATGTAAGACTATAAAACATAAATATTTAAGAGAAGAATTGTTCACTCTGTAGATGTTGCACTTTGAGCCTTCCATGTAAGTTGCTTTCCCAATAATGTTTACCCATTACTTAGGAATTCAAAGTCTCATTCAGCTCTAGCCCAAGCTTCTGCTTAAAGCATGGTGAACTGTGACATGAGACCTGTGGTCTCAACCTTTGACCAGCTGGGTATTGCAAACCTCCCAGAACATACGGTGATTTCACAGCCTCTCTGGGAAACCTGTACCAATACCCTCATATTTAATTTTTCTTCCTTATTTCTGGTTGAAACCATCATTTCAAGATCATTGCCTCTTGTACTTCCATTGTGCCTTCCACAAAGTGCCATGCTCTGCCTTCTTTATAATCTCTCTTCAGCAACTGGCTTGCTGCTGTTGGGTTCCCCAAGAGCTGCCCCCTCTCTAGGTGAAGGGAGGCCAGCCCCACCAACCTCATTTCACAGGGCAGGTGCTGCACTGGTGACCCTCTGCTGACCCTCTCCTCTCTGTCAGCTTCAGCCTTGTGCAGTACTCCAGCTGTTGTCTAGGGAGTGACTGAGTAAAAGGGAGTAGTCCCTTCCCTTGATCTCTTGTCTATGCTTCTGTTGATACAGCTTGACATGTTGTTGGCCTTTGTGGCCACCAAGGACATGCCAGTGGCTCATGCTCAGCCTTTGGTCCCCAGGTCCTTTGGAGCAGAGCTGTCTCCCAGGGGTTTAGTTCATTCTGGGGCAGGATTTTGCATTTGTCCTTTCCAATTTCAAGAGGCTCCTCTGCACCCTTTTTTCCTGTAGACTGGAGTTCTGGTGAAGGGCACTCCTCTCAAATCTATTGACCTGCTGTTCAGTGTCTGAAATCATGATAAGGACCCGCTCGTCTCCTCCTGCATGTTGCATCAAAACTGTTTAAATGTTCAGATCTATATGAATGGGAAATGATGAATATTTTATCTTTTCCATGGCAGGAGACACACAGTATTTTTCCTTTAAGAAGCAGCCAACCTAAGAGCCTGTTAAGAGCTGCAGTATTTGTGCGCTGTACAGTGCCTAGACAGAAATGTTAATTACAGGTGTAAGATATTTATTGTACTTGGGAGTGTTTTCATATTTGTAGTGAGTCAGTATCTAGGACAAGACAAAGCTTTTTGTTTCAAAATATTATCTTTCTTGACAACAGATTAAAGTGTTAATTACAATATTGTTATCAAACCATGTTTTTGTAACCATCTTTCAAACTAAAGGAATTTCTGACCGCGAGAGGAGTAAGGTTTGGGGCAGCCTCCAAGTCAGAACTGTGGAGAAGGAAAACTCAATGGATATGAAAGTTAGAGCTAGACCAGTCTATAGATCAGTGCTACAGCTTACTGTTGGACTTAACTAGTATAGAGATTCCTTTCTTCTGTTTCTTTGCAATGACAAAAAAAATCAAAAACAATTCAGTAGGAACATGTTAGTGCAGTAAATAAAACCCTCTGTAAGAAGCACAAGATGCCATAAGTTATAACCTATCTCTGAAGTTTACAAACAATCTTCAACACTGCATGATTGTAGGGACTGTATCTCTTAATAAGTTTTAGGGAAAACCACTTGTCATAACTAAACTCCCTTGTTGCTAAACCCATTTCCTCTGCTTCACTTCCTTAGTCTGAGTAGAAAGTGAAGGAACTTGTTAAAATCTTTTTTACAGAGACGGGGATCTGAAAAATGTAATAAAAAAAAAATCACTTGCCTTTACTAGTCTCTGTGTAAAAGATACTGCTTTCTGCTTTATAGATGCCTATAACTGCATTCCCAGCATTGCCTCTTGGCTTCTGCCCCCTAGACAGAGCCAGCTGGTGCAGGGGTCACTGGAGGTGGGACTGCACGTGCTGGGAGATAAGGGGTCAGCTGGGAGGAGAAGGGGTCAGCCTGGAGGTGTAGAGAGGGAGGGAAGAGCCCTTCTAGGTTGTCAGAGAGGGGAACTCAGAGCCGCTGCTTCAGGAGTGCACGGGGAGCAGAAATGCCTCCGTGGTGCCTGGAGCCTGGCAGTGGAGCTTGGCCCTGGGGAAGGAGTGGGGGAGGAGAGGGAAAATGGAGCTGAGGGATAACAGGCATTGTTAAATCTGGATATAAAATTTGTCTCTTTTTGTTTCTCTTACTGAAAAGGGTCATCCTATTTTTGAGGTATTTATTTTACATTAGTGCTATTACACTCCTCTAATGACCTTATAATTTCAGTCTTCTGCTTTTAAAAATCTATGTGGAATCTATGTTTGTCTGAAGGAGAATGCCTCTCCTACTGCTCTCTGTTCATAAGCATCCACAGCCTCTGGCAGTTATGAGAGATGCTTTTATGTGGATAGTTGGGAAGGTGAGTTTGCACTATATCTATGTTTTTATTTCAGGAAACAACTTTGGGAACTTACCTGCCATTCAGAAGGGAGCAGTACTGAAAGTGCAACACATGTTAAAGATAGACATTTTATGATTCAAAGCTAATATAATTCTACTAGTTCTTTTACATAACATACTATTACAAGAGACGCTGTGTAGCCATGGAATGTATATGGTTTTTATGGTCCTGATATATACAAAGATGAATACTTACTTCATTTAGTTCTTTAACAGATAAATGTCTGGAAAAAAAGAATAATATGCAAAAAAATTAATTATCATAAAATAAAATAAATTATCATAAAATAAAAATCACTTTGAGTACTTAAATACTTTGATTACATTATCACTGAAAACTAACAACCCTTGGCAAGGGAAGGATTTTGTTACTGCTATAGAAGTTCAGAGGCTGGTTATTTTTTTACATAAATTATTTGCAGGAGAAGGTTTTGGAGGAAGGGAGAGAAGTATCAGCTTTCTTAACACTATTCATCTCATGGCAAAAGGTCTTATTACACACTTTAGAGTCAGCTATAAATGGAGGTAAGTTCCTTGNTTTCTTTGTACTCCCAAGCAATTTGCGTTCTCTTCCTCTCTCCATTGTTCTCCAAATCCCTCTCCTGTTCTGGGTGTGGGGGTCTGCAGTGGTTTAACACTTGCAGTGTAGGTTGGGTATTTCTTTGCTTGAACCAGGCATAGGGTAATAGCAAGTAACTGCTTGTTTTTGTTCTGCTGTTGACTGTGCCATTGTTTTATTTGTTGTCTGCTTCCTTTATTTAATAATCCCTTTGCACTAACTCAGTGCTTTGAAAATCCTCAGTGCAGATATACATGCATAGCAACCAAAATCTGTTTCTTAATCTTATTTCTCCACATTTACTTTGGTTTTCAAAGCCATCTCTGGTTCTTACCTGAGCTGCAATTGGTTTTAGGGCTCCATGTACATTGAGGGCTAGGAAAAAGCATTGAATGAAGGCATCATCAGAAAAATATTTTTTTTGGTGGCAGTGTAAGAGTCAAATTAGAGGGCAATGCATAGCTGTGCTTCCCCAGAATGCCCCTTCCTCTACTCATGTCAGCTTTGGACCTTCACAGGTTTTGGGTGGTAATTTTGTATTTAGTGTCTTTTGATAGATTTCTCTTCCCTTAATTTCACCAGCCACTTTTTGAAGTTATATACATTTTTTTTACTCTCCAGAAGAGTGTTTGGTAAGAGGTCCACAATTTAACTGCATGTGTAGTGAAGCACAATTTGCTTTTGTTCCCTGCTAATTTCACCTGATGTTTCCAGTCCCTCTACAGGAAGACCCAGTTCCCTGCCTGTTCTGATTTTCTAGGCCTCTGCTGAGTGCCCAGCTGGTATTTTGTTGTGCGATTAATTGGAACAGTTACACTGGGAAGAGCATCGACCAAATAACTTCATATAACGGAGCCACTGGTACCACACCAGAAGAAACAGAATACTAAGGGTGACAAATACTGTTGCATTTACTCCAGACAATAATTTTATCTTGGAGAATGCCATCATTGTAAACAAGGCTAGATATGAGATTCTGTATTTGTCTAGGAAAGATGTTGAATGATTCATATACTTCCTATGCTTTCAGCTATACTTTTGGTTTGTTGTTGAGTATTTTGGGAGAATATAGATTTAAAAACACATTTAGAAAAGAGATTTGTGTGGGTTAGAAAAGAAAAATAGGACTAACTGTGGCAAATTTCTATGGAAGAATAATTGGCCTTTGAAAGGCCAGGTATGTATCCTTTGTAAATAAAAATAGAAAATGAGTAGGAGAGAAAATTCTGAGGCTTGAGATAGCAGAGCTTCTTTATACAGTATATTTAACACCGTATCACAGAAATAGCAACAGAAATGTCATACAGCAGCATGCTATTAAAGATAAAAATTGGCTATGCAATTACAAAAGCTTGAAAGCAACTCCCAAAGATGGTTCTTGTCATGCATCAAGGCAAAATATAATATAACACTGCATGGCATCAGAAAGTGATATCATCTTGCTGTTATTGCATAGTGAGGCATAATTTTCTAGGGCAGAATATTTAATCTTTGAAGCATCCAGCACAAACTCATGAAATTCTTATATTCCTACCTGACTTCAGGATGATGCTGTTGTGCTTGAAAAGATACTTCAGATTTCTTCCCCAAACTTGTAACTATTAGTAAAAAACGATAAGAACTTATTATTTCCTCTTAAGTGTAACTGACAGTATCTAGCAACTACTGTGAAATAAATTAACTACATTCATAAATGAGGGTGAAGCAGTTCAATAGAAAAACTTAAAAGGCTGCAATCAATCTGGCTTGAATGAGTCAGCTAATGATTTTGGTGGGAAACATTTATCCTAGTAGTGAGTGTTACATGGGGAACATTACAGGGTTTGCTGATGCCAAATATGGCTGAACATAATAGTAAATAATGTAGAATGCTGAACTAGAGGTATGTGGAGGGTTCATAAATCCTTTTTATAGAACAGAATAGGCATTGAATTTATTAATGCAGTCAATACTATTTCTTGCTGAAAATCAGGAAACAGTGCCTTAATCCACAAAAGGAAATGCCAGAGGAAATGATGAACTCATTAACACGAACTGTAAACAGCATAAAAGTCACGTAACCTGTATCTACCTTCCAAGTATTTTGGAGTAATGTTTTTCATGGACCTTCATGCACGCATACATAAACACACATGCACACATGGACCTTCACAGACACACAGATAAACAGCTTAAGCTGTTTAATAAAAAAACCTTTCTTTCAAAATTCTCACCCTCAAATTATGGGAGAGCAGCAAGATGGAGAAGAGTGATGTCCTCTGTGCAGATCTCTTTCTTCTCTTGGTTTTTTAGACTCCAACACACTTATTTTTCTCAAAACCTTAAGTTATTTTCTTAGAAAAAATGTGATACCCTGGTTCCCCACATAGCTGTAGCTAAGTCCAAGTTAAGTTCCTTTTTTCTGCTGCATTTTCCACAACTATTGAGGTCTCTCTAAATCTCTCTGTTCCCAGCAGGTCTTGCTTCAGTTGGAATTTTAATGATAGGCTATTTCAGTTTTGGAATATGAAGGAAAGACATCAAATTATTATTATTATATATTAAATACTGACCTTGCTCTCTTCCAGGTGCCTGTATGAAATGATAACATAGTAAATATTTTTCTTTGGATTAATGACTTTAATTTACCCCAATAAACCCAACTATATTTCAGTTTGTCAAAAACCCAGGCTGAATGCTTATGTCAGTCCACTGGTGACAATGAGAACTGAATTTTTTAGAAGTGTAAATGAACATATGGTTTATTGCAATGATCACCAATTCATGATGACTGTTGTACATCAGTTTAACTTACAATGTGGTTTTCCTTTCTTGGTCTTAATTGACTGGAGAGACACTATCCAAAGACTAAAATCAGTAATTTCTTTTCAGACTCTGACTGTACAGTACAGACAGTACAATTATTTTTACTCTCATGGCAGATACTTCATTCAAAATCACTGTGTGGAGAGTATTAATCCATCATATTATGTAACATATAAGTGAATGATACACAGGTTTCTAAAGACCAGAGTTTGACTCATAAACTTTCACTCTATTTTTATATTATTTTGATTCACATGGGAATAGTAATTATTTTGTTTGTTAATTTGATACATGTAAGACTATAAAACATAAATATTTAAGAGAAGAATTGTTCACTCTGTAGATGTTGCACTTTGAGCCTTCCATGTAAGTTGCTTTCCCAATAATGTTTACCCATTACTTAGGAATTCAAAGTCTCATTCAGCTCTAGCCCAAGCTTCTGCTTAAAGCATGGTGAACTGTGACATGAGACCTGTGGTCTCAACCTTTGACCAGCTGGGTATTGCAAACCTCCCAGAACATACGGTGATTTCACAGCCTCTCTGGGAAACCTGTACCAATACCCTCATATTTAATTTTTCTTCCTTATTTCTGGTTGAAACCATCATTTCAAGATCATTGCCTCTTGTACTTCCATTGTGCCTTCCACAAAGTGCCATGCTCTGCCTTCTTTATAATCTCTCTTCAGCAACTGGCTTGCTGCTGTTGGGTTCCCCAAGAGCTGCCCCCTCTCTAGGTGAAGGGAGGCCAGCCCCACCAACCTCATTTCACAGGGCAGGTGCTGCACTGGTGACCCTCTGCTGACCCTCTCCTCTCTGTCAGCTTCAGCCTTGTGCAGTACTCCAGCTGTTGTCTAGGGAGTGACTGAGTAAAAGGGAGTAGTCCCTTCCCTTGATCTCTTGTCTATGCTTCTGTTGATACAGCTTGACATGTTGTTGGCCTTTGTGGCCACCAAGGACATGCCAGTGGCTCATGCTCAGCCTTTGGTCCCCAGGTCCTTTGGAGCAGAGCTGTCTCCCAGGGGTTTAGTTCATTCTGGGGCAGGATTTTGCATTTGTCCTTTCCAATTTCAAGAGGCTCCTCTGCACCCTTTTTTCCTGTAGACTGGAGTTCTGGTGAAGGGCACTCCTCTCAAATCTATTGACCTGCTGTTCAGTGTCTGAAATCATGATAAGGACCCGCTCGTCTCCTCCTGCATGTTGCATCAAAACTGTTTAAATGTTCAGATCTATATGAATGGGAAATGATGAATATTTTATCTTTTCCATGGCAGGAGACACACAGTATTTTTCCTTTAAGAAGCAGCCAACCTAAGAGCCTGTTAAGAGCTGCAGTATTTGTGCGCTGTACAGTGCCTAGACAGAAATGTTAATTACAGGTGTAAGATATTTATTGTACTTGGGAGTGTTTTCATATTTGTAGTGAGTCAGTATCTAGGACAAGACAAAGCTTTTTGTTTCAAAATATTATCTTTCTTGACAACAGATTAAAGTGTTAATTACAATATTGTTATCAAACCATGTTTTTGTAACCATCTTTCAAACTAAAGGAATTTCTGACCGCGAGAGGAGTAAGGTTTGGGGCAGCCTCCAAGTCAGAACTGTGGAGAAGGAAAACTCAATGGATATGAAAGTTAGAGCTAGACCAGTCTATAGATCAGTGCTACAGCTTACTGTTGGACTTAACTAGTATAGAGATTCCTTTCTTCTGTTTCTTTGCAATGACAAAAAAAATCAAAAACAATTCAGTAGGAACATGTTAGTGCAGTAAATAAAACCCTCTGTAAGAAGCACAAGATGCCATAAGTTATAACCTATCTCTGAAGTTTACAAACAATCTTCAACACTGCATGATTGTAGGGACTGTATCTCTTAATAAGTTTTAGGGAAAACCACTTGTCATAACTAAACTCCCTTGTTGCTAAACCCATTTCCTCTGCTTCACTTCCTTAGTCTGAGTAGAAAGTGAAGGAACTTGTTAAAATCTTTTTTACAGAGACGGGGATCTGAAAAATGTAATAAAAAAAAAATCACTTGCCTTTACTAGTCTCTGTGTAAAAGATACTGCTTTCTGCTTTATAGATGCCTATAACTGCATTCCCAGCATTGCCTCTTGGCTTCTGCCCCCTAGACAGAGCCAGCTGGTGCAGGGGTCACTGGAGGTGGGACTGCACGTGCTGGGAGATAAGGGGTCAGCTGGGAGGAGAAGGGGTCAGCCTGGAGGTGTAGAGAGGGAGGGAAGAGCCCTTCTAGGTTGTCAGAGAGGGGAACTCAGAGCCGCTGCTTCAGGAGTGCACGGGGAGCAGAAATGCCTCCGTGGTGCCTGGAGCCTGGCAGTGGAGCTTGGCCCTGGGGAAGGAGTGGGGGAGGAGAGGGAAAATGGAGCTGAGGGATAACAGGCATTGTTAAATCTGGATATAAAATTTGTCTCTTTTTGTTTCTCTTACTGAAAAGGGTCATCCTATTTTTGAGGTATTTATTTTACATTAGTGCTATTACACTCCTCTAATGACCTTATAATTTCAGTCTTCTGCTTTTAAAAATCTATGTGGAATCTATGTTTGTCTGAAGGAGAATGCCTCTCCTACTGCTCTCTGTTCATAAGCATCCACAGCCTCTGGCAGTTATGAGAGATGCTTTTATGTGGATAGTTGGGAAGGTGAGTTTGCACTATATCTATGTTTTTATTTCAGGAAACAACTTTGGGAACTTACCTGCCATTCAGAAGGGAGCAGTATTGAAAGTGCAACACAGGTTAAAGATAGACATTGTATGATTCAAAGCTAATATAATTCTACTAGTTCTTTTACATAACATACTATTACAAGAGACGCTGTGTAGCCATGGAATGTATATGGTTTTTATGGTCCTGATATATACAAAGATGAATACTTACTTCATTTAGTTCTTTAACAGATAAATGTCTGGAAAAAAAGAATAATATGCAAAAAAATTAATTATCATAAAATAAAATAAATTATCATAAAATAAAAATCACTTTGAGTACTTAAATACTTTGATTACATTATCACTGAAAACTAACAACCCTTGGCAAGGGAAGGATTTTGTTACTGCTATAGAAGTTCAGAGGCTGGTTATTTTTTTACATAAATTATTTGCAGGAGAAGGTTTTGGAATAAGAGAGAGAAGTATCAGCTTTCTTAACACTATTCATCTCATGGCAAAAGGTCTTATTACACACTTTAGAGTCAGCTATAAATGGAGGTAAGTTCCTTGAAGACTGAAGAGTTTCAAAAATGAAACACAGAGGCAGAATGAAAAGTGTAGAAGGAAGGAGGTGAAAACCAGGGGAAGAGGAATGGAGAATGTTCTTCATGGTCCTGAATCAAGTAATTGTTTAGGTATTTTTCTGCCTTCTTCTGATGTGGCTGATCAACAGGAGTATCATCCTTTCCTGGGAAGGAAATATTCTCCCTCCAAAAATGGAGAAGGATTGATTCTGACATCTTTTGTTAGATGTTTTGGTTATGGTGAACACTCATGCTTTTTAACATCATGTATCTCATAATAAAAGAGACAGAGGACCAGATTTTACAAATTATTTAGCAACATAAGATGTGGATAAGCATCTAGTAGTTTTTGAAAAGCCCTGCGATTTAGGCCCTGTTTAGCCTGTCTCCTGAACTGAGAAAATATGACAGTGCGTTATTCTGCTAAATCAATCAGAGGGAACACAGAAGGAAGATCTGGTACAGAAAACCCCGAGAGCTATTTTTCAGCTATGAGAAGGGGTCTCTTCATCATGTCTGTGCAGAAAATATCAATCAGCATGGAGGGACAGAGAGGCAAGAAGTTTGGGAATGATCTGTTCAGGCAAAGTTTCAGGAAGGCTAGGGAAAAGGAGAGGAACTCTTTTGCATTTGGATAATTGCTTTTATGTTAGCTTCTACAATTTGTTAGCTTGGTCTCCAGGGCCATTACTTCATGTGTGAAAGCCCATATTCAGGGCACTGGGTGCATGGCAGAGTTTACTGATATTAAAGGTGTGCTTCCAGGGCTGGCCTCTGCCTTGAACAGACATGCCACTTGCACGGCCTGCTTACCACAGGCATGTAAAAGTTTAAATCACACCAAAGCTTCTAAGATGTATTCCAGGATCCTGCACATACCTATTTTTTAATGAAGCTATTTATAGCGTGTATAAATAATGATGTGTTAAATTTTAGACGTCCTTAAAATCTTGTTGAAAAACAGAACTTGCACTCCTAAATCACATCTGTGGTTTGACAGCTTTGCTTACAGTCTGGTAGATACTGGCTGTATCATTGAACTCCTTCACACTGCAGCTCATGTGTATGTTTTCTCCTTACAAAGCTGTAACTGGACTGAAGTTGGTGGACAAATATTTTGAGTGAAGTGATCCTGCGGGAAATTTGTCAGCTGCCTTCCCCATATCATGTGTGGTCTTATGCTGTGCCACTCCTTTCTTACTCATATGATTAAAACCCCTACTGCAATAGACATGACATGTATTTATATTACAGAATTTGGCTTTATAATAGGACCTTTCAAATCCAAGTGCTCTGCATACTGATGTCTGCTGACAACATAGATTATAACATTTCTCACAAAGCTTTCAATCTGTGTGCTGCTTTACTGAGGGAGGGGATCAGTCATGGGATTTGGAACTTTGCAACTCCATGTCAGATCTTGCACTGAATATGAAGCTACTTCACAGTAATAAAATGTCTCAGCAACCAACAGCTTTTGGAACGTAATCAATGAAAAAATTTAGTCACCATTCAGGAAAAAACCCGACCCAAGAATGATACTTAGAGCTCACTCATTAAGTACATGCTTAACTTTAAGCAAAAGATTATTTCCTTGGTTTTTAAGCTTATTTTCCCTCCAAGTGATTTGTAGTCACCTCTGTAAAATGAAGCAAAATTTCATCCTGATGAAATAAAATTGAAATCATTTAAGGAAGGACGGACAGGATTGACACAGCTTCTGGCTGCAATAGGTCTTTGTCAGGATCCATTTGAGCATTATACCCTGTGGGCCCTGGAATTGTGCCATTCCCCTTCCCAGCATGTGTCTGAGCACCATCTCCTGTTAAGAACGTGCATTTTGGTCACGGTGCAAGACCACATGCACACCTGCATGGTTACATGACAGTGAGCAGTGTATGTACGCGCTCATCCGACCAGGTACGAGTTGTGCGAAAAGAGCAGCCAGACTCAAAACCTGACATATGCATATGCTTGGTCATACAGCTGGACACAAGCAGCTTGTTCTTCAGGACTTGGCAGAACTCATCCTCACTGCCACGTCAGGATCCTGAATGACCATGGGCATTGTATGACAGGAGTGCAAGACAGAGAGGGCAAGAAACGAATCATAGTCTGAATTTGTTGGCTTCATGGGCTGAAACCAGATTTTGCCTACAGAGAAGTAATTTGTTTTGCTGAATGTCACATCCTTGGGATGTGGAATGTATTCCTATATCTCTGATGCAGTCAGTGTACTTCCCCATCACTTGATTCACCAACTGTGCTAAATAAGTAGAATTTTTCTGCTTAAAAGTGGTTGCAAGACCTGTAAATGTTATTAAGAAAAAAATAGGACAAACCTTAAACAAAGTATTCTTGAAAGTTCTGCCTACTTTTCTACTCCTTCTTTACCGTTATTTTGTCAGTTTTTTCTTAAAAAAATGCCAGTGTCACATTACACTAAATACCACTTCTCTTAATTATTCACAGCTGTCTAAAGAATAATTTCTTAAGTAAAAGCAGAGGTGCAATGGAAGTAAAGTCTTGCGGTTTGACCAGGGAGAGTGTTTTGATTCTTAGGGAACGAGGATGAGGAATGCACCATACCTTGAGACTTTTGCTGATATTGGAAAGGTGGGAGCTTGGCTGAGCGTGTTCCTCTTATGAAAGAACTGGCTGCTTATCCTTGGCTCTGGAGGAAGTGGCTGATACTGCTTTGGCAGTGTGTTTGGAGGCCTAGAGAAGTCAAAGGAGAATTTGAAGAACTATTACGGAATAGAGGAGGTGGAGGGACTGTGTTGTAAGTTCAAGCTCTAGAAGTAAGAGACTAGAATTTTCTGAGAGCATTTCAATGTATTTTGCTGAGCCAAGCTCAGATCCAGGAGCTCCTTAGGGCCCTTCAATAGCAATAGTAATATTGGATAATATTTTACATTTGCAAGACATTACTGTACTGTGTTATGTGCCATTTAATACCGCTTTTGTGTGCCTCATCTGTATGTGCCAATCACATACAGCTTTCCAGTGTGGATATTTCTGGGTGGGTAGGCCTGTGTATATGGTCCAGCCAGGGAACACACTGCAGTTTCAGACAGAGAGGACAAAATGCTCTTCATCCCAGAAAACTCACAGGTAACATGAGTCTAGTGTTTTCTGCCAGATGTGGGCACACTCTGCCCATGCTCTGAGACCAGGCAGTCACAGCCCAACTCTGGTTGGAAGCTGTAGCACAAAGAGGCTGGCTGGATAAAACTGGAGGTGCATCCATGGTGCCTGTCAGAACTGCCCTTCAGTTGTGGGCTCCTGGGGGGGGACTGGCCACCATAATACAAAAAGAAATAAACAGTGAAATATTGTAGAATAATGGATTGAGAATGTTCTTATTTTTGCTCTTTTATAATTTTGAGTTTGTGAAGTTACACTGCCCTTTTATGCTATTTCACATTTTTAAAGTAAAATCTGAACATGTAGTGCTAATCATATTTTAAAATTCTTTATACATTTTGGGGCAGTCAGTGTAGGCATGGAGGAATAAGCTTGTAAGTCCTAGATGACCTTTTGGAAGGATGTTTTAATTGTAGCAGTTATTTTTTGAAGTTGAAAAGATCAAGAAACAATTAATTTTTTCTTTGTGGGCATATCATAGTAAAATATATTTGTTGAATAGAGCTTGTTCCACCTTCTGTGGGAGTAAGTGGAAATATTCCAGTTGATTTCTGTGGACGTGATTTAGATTTGTAGCAAAAAACATTGGCAGAATGATTTAAGAGGGAATGAAGTCAATATTATCACAGTGAACAGAGCCTAAGGCACCAATCAAATTGATGGAAGATTTTTTTTCCCCAGCAATTTATATGTAGGTTGAACCAGATTCAAGATATCTAGGTTTTTGACTTGTCTGTAGGCAGAGCCAAATTGATTATGAAAATGCAGGCCTGAGATCCTCCTTACAAACACTTACAGCTCATGTTTTGTTCTCCCTAATTTCACATCAGAACCTGTAAGAGTCCAAAAAGTGCCAGGCAGTAAAAGAATGCTGGCTCACTTCCAGTCACCTAATTATCACGGGCAGTACAGGTGGATGTGAGCATTCCTTGGCACTGAGTTCCCCAGGGACAGCAGGTAGGAAATCTCTTATGTGATCTTACCGTGGGGGAGGCACAGGTTCCTGGAAAAGAGGAAACAAAAATCCCTGTAAACTTTTTTCCTTGGTTGACTAGAGAGAAATGTGAAGAAGTTAGATTAAGTAGACATGCCCATGTTAAGAGTCAAGGGGTTTGTGTGCTCTACAGCACAAAATATCATGCTTTAGCATTCCATTTTAAAATCACTGAGGAATAAAAGACACCTACATAAACCACGAATGCAAGTAAGTGAGATAATGTAGGACTGCAGATATGAGTTCTCTTATCCTTTAGTTAGTGCCAGCAAAATGGCAGCCTGCTTTTAAAAATGTATTAAATGGCAAAATGACCTATAAAAATTTTAATTGATGAGAGATTCTGCTTACCTGGTATCCCTGTATTTTCATTCTTCCTCCTAAAAATAATTATTAATAATTGTTAGTAGGGTGCTACTCACATAATTCACAAATTAAGTTACAGCTTTATTCTGTTATTGTTATTATTACTGGCAGTCCAGTCCCATTCCTTGCACTTCCCCAGCTCTACCTCCAGAACTCTTTGCTCTGGCTTTCAGAATGAAATATTTGAGGGTGATATTTATTCAGGTATTGTAAATTTAATTATTGTTTATTTATTGTTCAGAGATTTTACATGCTTATCAGATTTCGGATGCATTTTTTGTCTGTCTTGATTTTTCTATAGAAATTAATAAAAATATTGAAAAACAATGAAAGTAAATATACTTTTTTGTTTTCAAATTTACCAAAATATGTCTGATTATTTAAATTAACATCTTGCTAATAAAAAATAATTGTACTGTATTTTCATTAGATTTTGATATTGAAAATATTCTCCTAAGTTTTACTTGCTGAAATCCTAACTAATGTAAAGGAGATGCAATATATCTCAAGCTCTCCTTTAAGGAAACCATAACAATTTGGTCAAACTAAAATAATGGTACTTTAAGTGTTTAACAATTCTAGAAAATACTCTGACAAAAATTCTTCTGTGCTGTTTATGCCATCTTGTGGCAAGGCCTCTTAATAGCACTGGGCATGAGAATAAACATTAAGATATGTTTATTAACAGTGTAGTCATTATCTAAAAATAATAGCGTCCTCTATAAGCACTATTGCTCAGGATGTATTAAAAATACTTATAAGTTGCATTCTCAAACCACAGAGTTTAATTTGTGTGCCTGCACTGGCTTTGGTTCATCTTAACATCAGCACACATCACATGGAGGCAGACAAGCATGTAAATCCAACCTACTAAATCCTGGTGGAATTCAAAGTTTTAGATAAACTGGCAAACTGTCCTTGTTTACTGATTTCTGCAGATTTTGAAGCTGGCTTACTGGAATTTATCTTATTTCAGATGTTTTTTAATCTACATCAAGATTTGCACACACGAGTCAATCTAATCTTTAATTTTCAAACTTTGTAGTGTTTACTTTCTCATAATCTGTAGGAATTATTTGGATCTATGTTTTGCATTATAGTATGAAATAGAAGGGAAAAAAAAGCAAATTCTGTTTTATATGGAAATCTTTGAGTTATTTTTCTGGCTGATCAATTGCAATACTTACTTTCTAAAAATCAGCTGTTGAAGCAAACACAGAAAGGATAATATTTTCTTGGCTTGGCAGTTGCAGTCCTTTTGACAATATTTAGCTTACGGCTCAAAGGTTTGAAAATGGTAAAAGAAAAAAATATTTCTTTTCAAAGCTAATCAGATATTTAATCCTTCAGTGGTTGACTTCATGATGTACTGCTACATCAAAGTATATGAAATAAAAAAAAGTGTATAGAAACTACTTTAAAAATAATGTTATGATTGAGTAAAACCATCAATTAGAGTATTTAATATTTGGACACTTCAGTAGATTCTTGAAGAATAAGATAGCAATCTGTCTGTGATTTCACCACAAAAAACAGGACAAACAAAAATTAAAGGTACATTTGATTTTGAAGCAAATTTGCAGTTAAAGGTAAAGCAGCAGAGAAAAAGTATATTCTAGGTGATTAGCACACAATTAACATATGCTTAGTAGGTGAACATTGTCAGACAGCCTTTGTAAATAACTACCCTAGGATGTAAACCTAGTAGGAATTGCTAAAGTTGATATTGCTATTTAAAAATTGTTATTAGGTTAGCCTTTACAATATATTCATATGAAATGTCTGAGAAGCATAGGGAATGAAAAAACATGAGATCGTGAGGAGGTGCAGTAAAGCTTAGCAGGGATCTTGCAGCCTTTGGTGGAGGAATTTGGGAGACATAGGCTTCCCCCTGTCCCCTTATGTCCTTATAATATAGGAAAAGGAAAATCTGATTTTTAAATTGATTGGCTGCTTTTTCCTACCCCTTGAGGAACAGGATGCTCCTGAGATAAAAGATATCTCCTTCTGTAAATAATTACTTTGATGTTAGATAGTTGAAACAGTATTGCAAAATTTGCAGTATGATTATTTAGAAAAGCAGCTGCTGTTCTGAAAACCCTGTCTATTCTATCATCTGCAGTCTCTTCCTGCGTACAAAAGATAAATATGGAAGTAACAATTTCTATTTCTATTTGCAGAAATGGGTAGATTTTTTTATTTTACCTCTAACACATGGCACTCTCTGCCCCTCTGGAACAGATGTGTGAGTCTGTTAATAAAACAAAGTAAAGATGTGATGTTAGTCATCACCCTTGAAACTCTGTCTAGTAGAAGGGTTGCTGCTCCTGACTGGGATGCCTCTAATACTTTAGAGGATCCCTGCAGCCAACAAGTGAAGTCAGTGGTGAAGGCATCAGTGCAAAGTGAAACAGGAACGGCTCACAGGAATGTGTGTGCCCTTGTGCGAGTGAATTTTATAGCTAAGACTTTAAATAGACTGCACTTTAAAGAATATTAAAGAAAAGGGGAAATCTGTTTGTGAATAAGGTTTAGTATCTATACTTACAGTTGAGTATTGAGGGGGCTGAGATGGGTGCTCGCTCATTGGGGAAGTGGAACCTGAAGGCCTTAAACAACGTTTGTCTGTAAAAGAGGAAGAAAAATCAAGCCTGAGTAATTCAGTACTATGAGGTTTTAAGAAGAAGAGGTTTTAATGTTCAAAATATGCTTTTCAGATCAGGTCTTGCCATTTTTATAGCATTTTAAATTTTCCTTTTCAAAATGTAAATGTCATTTTAGCAGCTGCATTAGGACATAAACATGACCCTCATAAGAGCTTCATGCTTAACCTCCCCACTGTGGTTAAAAAAAAAGCCTTCATAAGGCGGTACACAGTTAAGGCAGGCATTTAACCTTAACTGTGATTACAGGAAAAAAGCAGCTTTTTATTTAATGTGTTTTATCTGAATTCACAAAACAAAAATTACATCTTTTAGGTATTTCAGGACAGTCTTACATAAGCAACATAAGATGCTGACTGCTGACTGGAAGTTTTTACTACTAACTAAGACAAAAGCAGTATTTGGAATTCAGATTTCCAAATAAAATGTGCAAATTAGTCTTTGGAACATAATGTAGGATATCTGGATGTTCAGACTGATTGTGATCTGCTCACACACTGGTAAATTTACTCACTTTAAAAGCCATCTATTTGTTTAGACATCAAACAAACTCCCACAAAGAATCAGTAGATAAATCTTTGCTGACTTTGATGTGAACTGGAGCAAGCTTTCATAATATATTGATCCTATATTTTCAGATTTCTTTGGTTTCTGTTTTCTAGTCTTCCTCATCTAGGATTTCCCTCCAGTTTTTTAATGATTTAAAACCTCCAGAAATTGTTTGTAATGGCTTTGAGCAATGGATAGCTATGATGATATTTCACATCCATAAACAGGGTATTAATTAGCTCTGTATGTTAGGGCATTTAAATTTGTTTGGGCATTTTAGTAAACCAAAAGGGGATTAATGAAGCTGTCCTGCAAGGTTAAGAATGCCTGAGAAATACACACAAAGCAATTGCTTATTACAGTTACTGAAAGCAGCAGAGAACACCTTTAAAAGGGTACATTTCTTCATCTGCAAATTATCATCTGGAGGGAAGTTTCATGTGTTCTTTAATATGTTTTCCATCTTAAAAATTTCTAGGCTTAAATAGCAGTGAGCTTTTCTGAAACAGTTGTGAGTTTTATCAGTCAGGTTTTTTGCACATTCAGTGTGGAATGGGATAATAGAGTTTCTCCCATGAGGGTAATATTAAAATTAAAAAACCCGTGTGTAAGTATTAATTTAACATAATCTAATGGAAATAAGGGTAACTTTTGAATTTGAAGATGCAGACAAAACTCTTCTCTATTTCTGCCTGCCAGTGTTATATTTCAGTTGAACCATTTAATTCTAAAAGATATCCACACTGAAAACCCTAAGTTTGTACTGCTCCTACATATGTCTGGGTTTTTCTCACTTTCCACAGACAGAAGTTACCTGCATATTCAGATTCTTGTAGAGGTTTGGCAGGAAGAATTCTTAAAGCATGGATGGCCTGCAGAGTGGAAGAACTTATGGTCTCGTAATCATCCTCTTCCTCGGATAACTTGGGGGAAGACTGTAAGTCAGCCCTTCCCTTCATTGTCAAATAATTGCTCTGGACAGAAGAAGAGATATACAGATAATATAATTAAGGTCAAGATTGATTTCAGATTTGGAAATATCTGATTACCATAACTAGATATTTTGGTACACAGGAAATTTTCTGATGGAAATTGAAGGGTTGCAAAGTAGTTGAGCAAGTGCTTTGAGTACCTAAATTTTTTAAATTTAGATTGATAAAATAGCCATTTGGGAGGCAGTTTAGATGTCTCTCTGAATTTTGCCTGTCTGATCTTGAAAATATAATGATAGTGTTTACTTTTATGATAATTTGAAATAGTGTCTTTCATTATAGTATTATCCATGTGTTATTTATATTGTACTGACTGTTTACATATGTTACTTGCAAGAATGTATTAACTAGCTCATCACAAATGTGACACTTTAAAATAAAAACATGCAGTGTTTTGGGGAATTTGTGCTAGAATATGATGCTGAGAGTGACTCAGGATGTCTCTACATGTGTCTATACACTTGTACTAGGTTTGTCCAAGATTATTTTCTGGAGTCCTGCTCCACCCTTCATACTCACTGTTTACATGCTGGAACACAATTGCTGGCTTCCTTCAGCGCAGAGCTGAGATTGCTGCTGAGTGAACTCAGCTGAGGGTGCCCCAAGTCTTTGTAAGTCATATTTTGCTACCAGCAATATAGGTACATCATGCACTTGGATCTTCCCCGATGGTTTTCTTATTCTCTTCTTGAACTCACTAATAACGGGGAGTCATCTGAGATGACTGAGATGTCATCTTCTGCTAGTTAGCTGCCCTTTCAGTTCATGCTTTTTCTCTTGAGTGCTAAAATTTAAACCAATTTGTTTTACCCTCCAAGGACGCTAAAAACAATTGATTACTATCCACTTTATTTCAACCTTTTTCATGCTAATGCCTATAATTATATTTCCTTTTAGTCTTCTCACTAAGCAAATATGCTTCTTGAAAGCTTTCCTGAGTTGTCAACCAATTTAAGAGATTCTGAACCTCATCAGGAAAGTGTTACTTTCCTGATTGTACACATCTCTCTCCAGGTTGTACACATTTTTGTTACAACATCAATCAGACCTCCAAGAGGTGTTCTTGACAGTACATTGCAGGATTTTTGTAGCAGCACATAAAAAATACCACCACACCCTTGAGAGACCCCTGCAGGGTATCTGGCTTTTCAGGCACTTCTCTGCACATCTCTCTAGTTCAGTAGCAGACTACTGTCAGCTAGGCTGAGGGTGACTGTTTTTTTCAATCAGTTGTGCAAACACTTCATGCGTTTTCATCTAGACCAGGTTTCCAGGTATCTGCTTGTGAGACTGTCTTCTGGGAAATGTCAGAGGCCTAACAAAAACCAAGATATATCACATCTACTGTTTTCTTTCTTGCTACTGTGGTCATATTTCTGCTGAAAAGGAAATTACTTTTGGTTTGAGGAGTTGATGAGATGTTCTTCATGTTCACATTAGCAATTATTTTACATGATCAGACCTATTATTTCCAAAAGATCCTTTCAGATTGACTTTGTTTAGTAGTTTCTGCAGGCTTTCTCATAAGAAATTGATGTTACCACTGTTCTTTTTCAGTACTTTAGGAACTCAGGACTCCTTGGAGAGTTCCCAAAGATAATCGATTAATGTCTCAGAAATTTCTTCAAATAATTCCTTAACTGCCTTAGCATAAGTAAATATTCTCCTGACTGTTCTTTCCCTGTTCTGCTCTGTGCTATTACTACCTTCCATTTGATATTAATCCCATATAGCATCTTCTTATTATTAATCTTTCAGTGAGATATAAAGCAGTCAAAGTATTGATTCCATCAACCTTCTTTAGTCAACGTTTACTTGTCCATCTTGCTTATTAAGCATAGATCTGTGCTTTATTTTCGTCTTTCTGTGATTTAAAAGGTATTTACACTCTTATACATCTGAACTGAAGCTCAAAACCAGCGTTCAGATAAAAATGGGAAGACATTGAAATGTGTACTGTTGGCTTTTAGGCTTTCATCTGCATCACTTACATATTAAACCTTGAGGTTTATGACTTATATACTTGTTCAACTTCACTCCTGTTATTTTCACATGATCTTATGTAAAAGTGTATTTTAAATTCAGCCCATAAATGGAGAACTGACTAGTGAGTGAGTCACTTCTCCAATCTAGCTCATACATATGTCAAAATACTCATGCTTTATTTTGCATTAGCAAACAGTGACAATTGCATTTTCTGTTACTAGCATTATAGCCAAGACAAGATTAACACATGCCAGGAAGTGTTTTACAATTACAATTACAAAAGTAAAATTTTAGAAAGAACAGTGTGGTACTTACAGAATGATAGGTGTTATCAGGAATAGTTGTTCTGGTTTCTGTATGAAATGGAGAAAAACTGTCAGCAGATCTCATTCTGTAGAAAATGATACACTAACTAATAATTTATCTAACAGAATAAAAATCTGCCAACTGCACAGTATTTTAGAGATACTGAAACAAAGGAGATTAAGCAAATCCACCCGTGAGTTTGTTGACCTATACAATGCCTGAGGAAGTAGCTGTGTGGAAATGGAATTCACAACCATAAGCACGTCTAAGCCTGCCTACCAAGAACACCCAAAAAAGGATGTGCTTGAACTCCTCTCTTTCTCCTGAGTTTTGCTGCTTGGTGCAGAACTGTGAGAGCTCACCATGATGAGACTGGGGATCCTGATCTGGAAATCCCTTTATGAATAGAAATGTGTCTTGTTCCCTTAGCAGCAGAAGAAAACCCCAAAACTGAGAACACTCCAGCTATCAGGCTATAAACTTTTCTCAGTGGTGTGTCTGCCCACGAAGTTGTCTCATGGTACAGCCAGGAGAGCACAAGGGCCAAAGAGCTGGCGAACAGGAGAGTGAGTTCACTTCAGAAGAGACTCCCAAGTTCTGCACTTAACCTGATTTACACATTTAATCCAGTGACTATTTAATGCAAAACAGCCATGGTATGACCTTGCCCAGTACTTGCTCTTGTTTTGGACTGTTGCAATCCTTTCTTACACTGCCTGTAACCTCACAAATCTTGCATCTGTGGCTACGTAATAGCTTGATTTCCAAAGTAGGACATGAAAGTCCTTCTATTAAGACTAATCAATAACATATAATTAAAACTTGTTCTAATACTTTGGAAAAGGGGAGAATTGCACACTGAAAGGCTTTTGTGTCAAGGAGAGAGTTAAAACCAAATCTACTTCTTGTCCAGTGGTTGTACCTTGGTGCTGAAGTGTACTAAGGACAGGCACAACCCTCCCTTACAACTGTGTTTTGAAAGAAGACTGCTTCTGCCTGAACACCCTTTTTACATTTTTTTTTGCTCTTGTTCTGTAAGCCTGGTACTGCATATTTTTGTATGCCCCAGCAGATGGCATTGAATGTTCATTTATTTAATACATGCAGTACTTTAATCTCTGCTCAGTGTTTTAAATTGTAGCCTTTCTATTTCTGTTAATTAAAAAAAATGGTTGTTTTATTCTCAACAATAAAAAAATAATAACAGTGGTAAACATCAATGCCATTATCCACTCATTTCATGGCTTAATGCTGAAGGGGGACTGTTTGACCCAAGGCTTTGGGGTGATGTATCGCTATTCAATACCAGTTTACAATTTGACGCCCAAGTTAGTTTATAATCTATTCTGTTGTGAATGAATCAGTGGAGTTTGGAGGAACTCCAGCCCTCCTTCTCCTTTTCTTCTTACTCCTCCTTTGCACAGGGCCAGTGAAGGGAGCAGCACTGGTGCTGCTTTCCTGTGGGTGTGCCTTTTACGTAAGGTGTATGCCCAAGTATTTACTCCATGCTATCTGAGGAGTGCAAACCAGCTAGAAACCACTCCTCCTGATATTTAAGAATGTCATTTTGGAAGTGAAGATGAATATCTCACTCTGCCTTGCTGTACATAACAGGCTTTCAGAATAAAAAGTGCTGCACACTGTCTAGCCAGTAGAAGAGGTACTGTTGCAGAGGCTCACCATCTAGGGGGAGACTATTTCTGCTGTCTGCTATATATAGATCACCCTGGAACATCCAATTTATTATAGAATCATAGAATAGTTGGAGTTGGAAGGTACCTTTAAAGGTTATCTAGTCCAACCCATCTGCAATGAGCAGGGACATCTTCAAATTTTCTCACTTCTAGTGCACTGGTTGTTGTAAAGGGATGAAAGAGGACAGAATCTTTGTTGCAAGTTGTTGCAATCAGCTGGACCTTCTGGCATAATTTTTTTTTTCACTGCAATCTAAAGACTTAGAGCTGGCATGGGTTAGAGTCTCCTCAAGCTATAGGAACTGATCATATTTTATTCAGTCTGAAAATTTTTTGTTGCTTTGCTACATTTTATGTGAAACTAATAAATAGAGAATATAAATTATAACACTAGGAAGGTGTTACATTGCTATGGCATATGTGTGGGTGTGTTTCTTCCAGTTGACAGAGAATGCTTGATGTCAAAGGACAAAATGGAAAAAATTAACTTCTCTTTAATTTGCAAGGGAATAAAACAATGTGTGCATTTTGTGGCAACCTTGCTTGCTTTTCATAGAGACCTAAAAAAATCCTGTTTAAAAGGGTGACAGCCCTTCTTTAAATGAGAAAGCAGAAGGTAAATCTGTTCCCATTGGTTTCTGTGAGTCTATGAATGCACAGTGGTTTTTTAGTCACTGTGGTGTCTCAGCCAGTGTTGGGAAGCGATAAAGTATTGTGGCTTGTGTTTTAATAAACACTGTTATCCTGACAGAGTGTCTCCTAATCACTTCAGTAGAAAAAAACCTGAAGCTGGAAATGCTGCAAAGAAGAACTGCATAGGCATTTTCAGAGTCACTTTTTTACCGTCTGGTCCAAAAGTATGGTGCAAAACCTTGTCCTGCTGGAGTATATAGGCATCTTACAATTCATCCTAATGTTTATAATATTACAATGTTCATGTAATATTGGAATTTTACCTTTCAGATGTATATCTGGATTCATTGCTTCACATATGTTTGGGCTAGATCTAAATACATAAACAAAGAAAAAAAAATCAACTTCATTAAATATTAGGAATTGCCATTGTTCTATAAAAGTGCTCAAATATTTCAGCTTAAATGAATGAGTGGAAGCTGCAAGGATAAGAACTACGGTTGAGAAATGACAGGGGAAATTTGGAAATTCAACAATCTTGGGTCAAACCTTATATTTTTGTTCACTTTCAGCCCCAAGTTTGGTGCAGTTACAGAGTGCTACTCATTTTACAAGCATTCATTTCAGACATAAATATCATAACAGCCTTATTGTTACTTTAGTATATTCAGTGTGATGTTGAAGGGATGAGTTTCCATAGGGAGATAGGAGCTAAATCTCTCTTTTTGCATGCAGCTGTGCCACTGCACATGGCTCCCTTCCAATTCTACCAGCCAGCAAAATAAGTGTAACATTTTCCCTAGTCCTGATGAAGTATTCTTCCATCCTGCTGTTACTCTGCCACAGAGAATATAGGAGATATATTGGGTGTGAAAGAACCATATAAATAGATCTTGACCTTAGGCCTTACTCTGATATTGATTGTCTCACAGTGACCCTCTTTACCCACTTAGCTCTGTATCAGCCTGTCCAGTAACATTTGTAGATCATTGCAGTAGAACTACTTAATATTCAGAAACAACACCAAGAGTTATTTTGCAATGAAGATGTGGCCAGGGATCACATTAAGATTGCATTAATGCACACTTGTTTTATCTATAACTAAGCATCCACCCTTGGAATTGCCCAAAGTTTTGGAAATACCAGCACAACCATCTGAGTTTCAACTAGCCCACTCTACAATTACAAAATAATTTAGGTTAGCAGCAACTTTTAAACATAGAGTGAAGCTGAGCGGTTTCCTGTTCAGTGAGCAGGCTGTAGACCGCACAAGTGTACTAGAGTAGAGTGTGTGATTATAGCATGGACACATCAATCATAAAACTTTTACTTATGTTACTTGCCAGTGCTTAAAAAAGGTAATTTGTTTACTTACTTAATTTTTGGCAAAGCTCTCTTCCCACTGTTTGTATCTGCTGGGCTATGTACTACTGTTTTCCTATTGGCTCTGCCAGAATTGGACAAAGTTTACTGTTAGTGAGTGGCAGTAAGTGGGGAAGAAATGCAAGTGCAAGCAGAGCTGATAAAGTAATTTTCAAAACTGGGAAATGCATATATGTAAATGTTTCTCTTCCTCTCTTCCTCAAACATTTTCAATCTATGAATATTTTCCTGACTTTTTTGTTTTCAGCCATTTGAAAAAAAGAACAACTGTTTCCTGCTGAGAGAATGAAAAGCTGGAAACTGAATTCCTGCATCCAGTGTTTTGGTTACTTTAGAATAGGGTACTTATTCATTTCAACTGAATAGGAATTAAAACCCAGGGAAACCTACCCAAGATCTTTATTGCTACTAAAGTAGTTGCTAAACACCAGTGATGTAGCTAACAAAACAACAGAGCTCAGTTCTCTTGGCCTCTCTACTTCTGACTACTCTTGAGCCCCTGTTAGAAACAGAACTCCATATTTCACTCATGTGAAATAATACTGATCTGTAAATCCTCAAAATAAAAACTGAGATGATTTACACTTTTACCATTTGACTAGCAGAGACTTCAGTGTTTGCACCAGAAGAGTTAGTATTACCTCACTGAATAATTCCTACAGATTGAAAAGATGGTCATGTCCTTTTGGACACAGTCTTGCCCAAATTCATTTAAATTCATAGATCCTATAATCAGTGTTGCCAAATCAGGTTTCAGTTTTTCTTTATAAACATGCCCCCCAAACCTATTTAAAACAGAACAAATGAACAAAGAAACACCAACATCTCCCCCCCCGCCCTTTAATAAATATTTAAATGTGCACATTGCTATAAATTTTTCTGTCTGTATGGAAATACTAAAGGGCACAAATGCAAAGATGCGAATTTTAGAAGAATGTCAAGGTATGATTTTATTTTCAGCTGTGGATTTAACAGGAGAGGTATGCTTGAGTAGTTGCTACAGCTATAGAGAATTTTGGTTAATTGGTTAAATCTATACTGCCGAGTCATGTCTCTGGAGCATGGGGAATATGAACAAGTAACCAATTTCTGTCATCACTACACTCTTTATTAGTCATGTATAATTTTTTCTATCTTTTAAAAAATTAATTTCATTCCTTGGAAAACCCTTCACCAACTCCTCCAAGGCAGTCAGTATTCCAAATGCAAAAGGCTATTGCATATGAGTATTATACACATAGTGAACATAATTTTTATGTTTGAATTTACTGCATTCCTCCCTGACCCCTTCTGTAGCAAATTTCCC